GATAATGAGGTGAGCATGCCATTCAAGACTTGTATGGATTTTTTCGACGTAGGTGTGGGGAGGTCGGAGAAAGCCTGACACTTGTCGGGGTTAGCTTTGATTCCTTATTCTGTTAAGTAGAAGCCGAGGAACTTGCCCGCCTTGACCCCAAACGTGCACTTCTCGGGGTTAAACCTCATTTTGCATTGCCTCGCTTGGGCAAAGACTTCCCTGAGATGAGCGGCATGGTTGGTGTCTTCTCGGGACTTAAAGATCATGTCGTCCATGTATACCTCGAGCATATCCCCGATTTGGTTGCGGAAGACTTTGTTCATTATCCACTGATACGTTTCTCCTGCGTTTTTCAGACCGAAGGGCATTACATTGTAGTAATAGTTGCCCGAGCTAGTCATGAAAGCGGTGCATTGTTTATCTCCTATTGTCATTGGGATTTGGTTGTAGCCCGAATAGGCGTCCATAAACGATAGAATTTTATAACGGTCGAGTTATCAACCAGCATATCAATATTAGGTAAAGGAAATGCATCTTTGGGGTATGCCCGGTTAAGATCGGTGTAGTCAATGCATATTCACCATTTTCCATTATTTTTCTTGACAAGTACAACATTTGACATCCAGGTTGAATACCGGGCTTCAGAAATAAAATTTTCCTCTAAGAGGTCTTTTACAGCTTTTTCAGCAGCCTCCGTTTTCCCCAGAGACTGCTTACGCCTATGTTGCACTATTGCCCTAGCGGCTGGATCAATGGCGAGTTGATGACAGACGACCTCAGGGTCAAGACCGAGCATCTCTGTGGCGATCCATGCGAACAAATCTGCATTCTCCCACAAGCAAGCCTTGATTTGCTTCCTCGCCAAGTCGGGGAGTCCAGTGCCAATCCTCACTCCTCTGCTTGGGTCTTCACCAAGGGGGACGAGCTCGAAGTCCCCGTCCGGAATTGGTCGAAGGGGGACTTGCTCGCCGCTGGGAGGCTCATCCTGGTCGAAGCAAGTGTCTAGGGATATCGAGTCGACCTTTGGAGGGGCTCTCTGCTCTTCTACTCTGACGGGCTCTGACCGCTGAGGTTCTGGTTACGTAGTTGCAGCTTTCTTGGCGGGTCGTGTGCTGGTGTCGACCGTGTTGTGTCTCTTAGATGCCGCGTTGAAACATCTTCGAGCAGCTGCCAGGTCGCCTTGAATAGTGGCAACCCGTGCCCTCTTGGTGTAGAACTTCATTTTTAAATGGATGGTGGAGGACACCACGGTCAATTCTGCCAGTGTCGGCCTTCCCAGAATACAGTTGTAGAGGGACAGGCAATCAATGACAAGGAAGTGCACCTTGACTTGCCTAGTAGTAATATCCTCGCCGAACGTGACCATGAGCTCGACGTATCCCCAAGGCTTGGAGGTCGAGCCTTTAAAGCCCTGCAGATCTGACCCCACATATGATGAAAGGTGAGAGTCGTCGAGCTGCAGAGTTTGGAATAGCTGGCTGTACATCACGTCAACGGAACTTCCCTCGTCGACGAGGACGCGATGTACGTCGAAGTTGGCCATTCTTGCCCTTATCAGGAGAGGGACGGCCGAATTGGGGGCCCCTCCGAGGAGCTCCTCGAGGTAGAAGGTGATTGGCTCAGATCTGCCTCTCACCCTTTCAAAGGTCACCGTTTGAGGGGGGGGGGGGGGGCGTGTCGACCAGCTCGTCCAACTTCCTCTTAGCTGAATTTATGGCCAAATCATTGAACCCTCCACCATTGATGACCATGGCGGAGGGGAAGTGTTCCCACCTGCTGTGCGTGGACAAATGTTCGGGGACGTAGAAGTCCTCGGGTCTTGTGACAGAGAATGCTGTCTGGATGGGGACCGACTTGTCATATGGTCGGGCATCCTCTTCTGCTTCCCTCGTCTCACGGGCGTCCCGACGGGGGGCGTTGTTTCGCTGATATTGTGCAAGTCTTCCCCCTTTTATGAGGGTCTCAATGGCGTCCTTGAGGTGGACGCAGTCTTCGGTCAGGTTCGCGTGGCTCCGGTGGTACTGCAGTATTTGCTTCAGTCCACCCCAGGCTTGGCAGGAGCTGGGCGGGGATGTTTGACGCCGCCGTCCTTGAAATATGTACTTGTGCACTCCTCTAAGATGCGCTCGCGGGAAGCTGTAAGCGAAGTGTATTCTGTGAACCTCCCCGAGGGTCCCCTTTGTTCCCGGGCGTCCCGTGGTTTATCGTCCCTTCTATTTTCTCCAGTTCATCGAGGAGGGGCGATGTCTTGTCGCAGATTGCTGCTGGACCCACGGTTTCTGGGGTCTCGGGCTCTGTTGGCCGCTTCTCTCTCTTTGTAGTCCATGTAGGCCCTGACCTTTTCGAGGTGGGCATCAAATGTTCGGGGTGGCTCGATGCCCATGGCTTTTCTGAATTCGGTGCCGGGGAGGAGCCCCCTCTCCAGCAGGTATCTCTTTATGTGGTTCGTGCAGGGGACCTGGATGGCTTCTCGGTTGAAGCGGTTAATGAATTCTCTCAAGGTCTCATCGTGTTTCTGGACGAGGGCCTCGAGCGCTGTTTCGGTCTTCGGGTGTCGTCGCGAAGCAGTGAACGAGCTGATGAACTGGTTCTTCAGCACCAAGAGGTAATTAACCCCTGGGAGAGACCTTTGTACCAGTCCATAACCGCTTTCCTCAGAGTCGTGGGGAACAACCAACATTTGATTGGTCCCCCGACGTTGTGGTAGTGCAGCATGGCTTCGAACCCGTTTATATGGTCGACGGCGCCGTCCTTTAAGTGGGGAGGCTTCTCCATGCCCGGGGGAATGGGCGCCTCCATGATAGCCTGTGACAAGGGACTGCGGGGGTCGTCCTCGTCACTCCGTTCTTGGGAGTGGGACGGGGATCCGATGTAGTGGCGGTCACGGTGGCCCTTGTCGCGCGGAGCATTCCTCGAGCGGTGTGACCGTTGATGGTTTCCCCGTGTCTGTCTCCGGGAGGTCTTCGTTCTTGCCGTGAGGGGCCATGGTCGCGCCTTCCTACATCGACGAGTGGTTCCCTCTCCAAAGGGGGTCGTCGCCTGATTGGTCGAGGCGACGGGCTTCGAGAGATGTCCCGATTCTGTCTATGCGGGGTAGATCGGGGACGTTTGTCCGCTTGTCGAGGGGGAGGAGATTGAGGTCTTCTGTGCCTTGTAGGGGGCCTTCGGTCGTCCTTGAGTGCTCTCAGTCTTTCCCCCTGGGCAAAGATGAGATAGTTGGTTTGGTTAATCGCCGCGAACAGTGCCCTGGTCGTGGCGTCCGCCCCAGCGGGGACGAAGACCTCGTGGAATTGGACGGCTGGGTAGTTCAGAGAAATTGGTTGATCTTCTTCAAGTCGAGGAGGGATTGATGAAGAAGAAGCCGTGGCTCCGTCCCGGTAGTTAGAAGGTTCGGGGATGTTGACGCCAGGGACCGTATTATGGCCGGCGGTACCCGCGTTGTCGAGACCGACATTATTGTCGGTGATGTTGTTGTTAACGTCAATGACACAGACGTTCTGGTTGTCTTGAGTTTGGTCAGCCATGACAGTCGAGGATTGTTAGCTTTTGTCTTTTAAACGGAGAGAAGACGGGGAAGCTTAGATTCCCACAAACGACGCGACTGATCGTACCTGATCAGAGTTGGACCGCCACAGCTGGCTTCGGGCTGGATTTGAAGGAGATGTGGGGGGGGGGGGGTACCTGCAAGGCACTCTGATGGCAAAGTGAGAGACGGAATGAGCAAGCAAGTATGAATGTAGGTGTAAAGATGAATGAATACCTGACTCTCTCGAAATAGAGGGTATTTATAGCCCCCAGCGCTGGGCCAAATTCTCTTTATTGGGCTGATCAAACAGGCCCAACAAAGAGACTGCCAGATTCTACGTGAGTAGTGGGGACCTGCACGTGGCCCCCTACCTGGATGATGCCCTCCGCAGGACAGGGAGGATAAAGACGCGATCTTCCCGGGACCATGAAGACTCCGCGAAATGCAGAGAGGTTGAAAGTCAGCCCTACGAGGAGGGTGCTCAGTGGGAGCGTGCGCTCGTCGGAGACATTCCTCGTGGGCACCGGCAGAAAGCAATCATAGCCGATCAGATGCCCATAATCGGGGTGTGCTCGGAGGATATACTGCTCAGCACGGTATATTGACAAGCTTGGATTGGGCCTCACTGGTAATTGGGCCACGGGCAGGCCCAGTCCAGAACAGTAATCATATAAAATCTATTGTAACTTGGTCTTTAAGATCAATAATTCATATTAAAAAATGAAAAAGAAACTCTACATTTTCTCTCCATTAATTGCACCTCAGCTAACATGAAAATTCAACTAGTAACAACGATCTTTGTTTTGCAATAAAAGTTTGCTATTTTCAATCATGAAAAGTCTTAGAAATATAGATTGGGTCTAAGTCAATTCTACAACACCAACTTAAAGGTGAGAGTTGTCTAAGCTTTATTAACACTATGCATGCCATATCTCTAAACAATGTGAGACTAAATCTACCCCTTCAAATAAACTTTATTCATTCATGTTGCATTTGAATGTGAGTGACATAGAGATAGTTCATCATGTTGTAAGATACTCTGGGTTGAATGATATTATTATGGTGCTTTATTTGCTTTCTTTTTCATTTTAGTTACATTACTAAGATAATTAGAGGTATAACACGAGATTAGAAAGAAATACTGTAGACCAAACTATTAATAGAGATTCTATAAAGGTGATCCAAAAAAGTTAAGCAATTAACATTAAGATGATCTATCATGTAAAAAAAGTCAAATAATCAGTACAAATTAATGAAAATGTCCTATCTAGGTATTATTCTCTGCCTTCTCAATATAACCAACAAAATTTGATAGACAGTTGAAGAGGTATCTGCTTCTATTTGATACTTTGACAAGTGCATGATTGAAAACTCAACTATGACAAGATTACCAAAGAAAATCCAATAAGGAATGGAAAAATGAAACCCAGATCATTTTTTACTTCTTCTTTTTGTTGAAGAAAGGATGGCAACACAGTACTGATCAGTTGACACTGGTAAGGCTGAAACAAGCAGCAGCACTCTTCAGTTCATTCTCAGAAACATGCTCTGTGCACTTTCTTGTGTCTTTCAATGACTCTTCTGAACTGCAAGCAGAGATATACGACATAAAAAAAACAAGCATTTTCATTTCATAGGATTTTGATTTAATAGTCAGAATCAATTAACATCACAACCATGTCCTACTATATCTACTTTCAATAATAGACTTTCAAACTCATTTTGTATGAATTGGTATTTGTTGGAGATTTCAGAAAAGTTGGAAGACAATGCTCTAGGACACAAAAGAGGAGAGATGTCATATCTCCACCCAAAATCTTAAGGCATTATGTATGTATGTCATCTCTCGTATAAATCCGACATTTCATCCATTTATAGGCGATGTTGAACTCAACTACTCACTCACACCTAAGTTAACAATATCCCTCACAAGTGTGAGCTCCCACCTCCTATAGAAGAATTAGACTCTGATACGACTTGTTTAAGGATTCAAGAGAAGTCGGGAGTAACAAGACAATGCTTCAGAACCACGGAAGAGAAAGACATTATACCTTCACCCAAAATCTCAAGGTGTATTATGTATATGAGTCAGCTCTCTTATAAAATCTACCATTTTACCTATTCATATGTGTACAAATCACTTACATTTGAACCAATAGGTGCAAACCTCAAACAAGACTACCTGTGATTGAGTGAACCTATGGATATTCATATAGAAAAGAAAAAAGTATTGTTTGTTTTGCTTCTACCATGTGCTTAATAATCATGTCATAGTAAACTGATAAATCTACCTTGATTCATAAGCCTCCTTAGAATAAATGTATGATTGCCTATCATCAACTGTATCAAAAAACGAATGCATTTCATCATAATTATCTTCAACAACTCCTTGTTGAACAGATGACAGTGGTTGTTGTGACTCTGAGGCAATCAACTGATGAGGTTGCATTGTCATTGAATTGCTATTGTTATTAGTGTAAGGGCACTGAAGCCACAAATTAGGATTAGTAACATTATCCTTGGAATCCATATAGAGAGGAGAGTTATTATAATCCAAACTATTGCTGTTGGAGTAAGAATGCTGTTGAGACACAGACAAAGGAGCAGCCACATTGTTGTAATTCTGTGGCTGTGGAGTGTTATTAAACAGCGCGAGCGCATTAGACGAACGCGGCCCCATTCCCAATTCTAACTGCGAAGTCACATCATCATGAGGCAACTGTTGCTGCTGTTGTTGTCGACAAATATCAAGCTGTTGATAAACAGCATGAAGTTCTTCTTCCATCATCCATATTTGATATTGTAGCCTGCAAATTTCCTCCCAACATCCATGCACAGGATACTTATCTCTATAATTAGCTTGCGTGATAATCGAATCCATGGCCGCTTTCTTCTGACTAGGCTCCAGAATCTTCAGTATTTTGACAATGTTGCTAACTCCAAATAGTTTGTGAACATTAAGGAATATCTTAGGTTGATCTGCAGGGAAATATGGAGCTAAAAGGCACTCAGGTGTGCACTTTCTTCTCTGGAATTTGCATGCTGCACAAGCCTGTGTTGTCCCACCCTTAAGGGTCATTATTATTATGATTTCTTTCCACCACCCAGTGAGAATGATGTTGGAAGAAACTAAAACTAAGTATGATCCAGAATGAATGAGTTTTGAAGATGTGTGTGATGAAAACAAGAGTCTATATTAATGTATGGATCTGTTGGGTATGGAAAGACTGAGTAAAAGTGGACACATGTTTGGAGGAGATTGTTTTCAGAAGTGATTATTCTGTTAGAGAGAAAATAGAATGTGGGAAACTCCTATGTTTTGGGGTTACCATATGCTTCGGTCATGCATCACTAACTGTTATCTATTCTAACATTATCACAATACTCTTACTATAATCATTATATTTTACAAAGAAATTAATTTTGTTAAAAGAATTTTATTAACTAATTGCTGAGAATAGAATATAATGAAGGATTCTTAAATACTTGAAGGTATAAATTTTTATAAAATGTACTTGTGATAGAATTTTTTTTATCAGTAATATACATATTTTCCATTTATAATTATTAAGAATTTTCAGGATATCAGCAAGTTTAATTAGAGCTTTTGGGTTCGATTTCAGACTGAGGCACGCGACAATGTTAAATTTTTTTGAGGGTGAATTTTGTCATTCATTGTGGTCCTATCCGATACTAAGGATTAGTCTTTACAATTACGCGCAAAGATACTCAATTTATACCCAAAAGAATACATGAAATTTTAGATCACCACCATCCAACTACCAAATGGCACTACTGCAATCAAATACGATTTTTTAAAGGGGATGTTCATTGCACCTTTATTAATTCTCTCAAGTTTTATAAAAATTCGAACACACAAAATGCCAGAGAATATTTGTCTAGATTACAAATTTCAGACACAACTTTTGGCAATTGAAATCCGGACACATTCAAACAGGAAAACGAATTCTACATTACCTTGTTTAATGAAATCAGAGTTTAACGAAATTGTTTGGCGTAACAGAATTCATGTGCAATATATGTTATTGGTATGATTGTCGTATACACTCAAACTAGAAACAAAATGAACGAAAAATGAAAAGATTAAAGCAATTAAGTAGCAACTAACGTTTCAATTGATCTAAATTCAATTTATACGAGATGTGTAAATCGAAATTATTCAATTGACTAAGAAATCTATTAGGTAAAATACTATTTTTAGTCCCTTAACTTTACCTCGGGGTCCATTCTGGTCCTTTGTCTTTAAAAAGTTCTAAAGTGGTCATTTAATTGTTCAAAAAGGATTGCGTTTGTCCTTTCCATCTGGACCGTTAGTCAAAGTCAATGGTAGAGCTTATGTGGCGTATATATGGTATTGCATGTGTTTATATTTTTGTCCAGGTGGATTAAAGTATCTTAAAAATAATGGGTTAAAGTATCAGAACACATCTCTAACGCTTTGAAGCTAACTCTAGCGCAACCATTGTTGGTAGCTCTGTTTTGTGAAGAAGCTGCGAGCGAAGCGAAGACACATTCCATTATTGAAGGTGAAAGCGACCACAACACTTCTCATCGTAGGTAAGTTTCTGCAAAATTCTAATTTTTGTAGTTAGGGTTTTTTGAAATCAATCTTTCTGAAATCTAATATCTTCATGTCCATTTAGGACATAGTCTGAAATGGATGAATATCCGAACATTACAATACACCATAGTGGTGAATTTGTTACTGAGGACATGAGTGTTTACGAAGGAGGTGAGATTGCTGATTTAAGAGTAGATGCTGATAAGTGGAGCTATTTTGAATTGATAGGTGCTATTAAAGAGCTAGGTTACGCAGACGTAGAGAATATATTTATAGGGATCCTACTGTTGGAATGAATATGTTGGTTGATGACAAAGGGGCATTAGAGATTGTTGATCTATATAAGCTTCATCTTGGTGTTGAAGTCTTTATTCAACACACGTTGTTAAAGCCTGATTATGCTGATGAGACTGGAGTTGCGTTAGATGAGGTACCCCTTAATGTGATAGTTGATGAGGCAAAATTTGTGTTTGAGGAGATGTTGAATGAAAATGATGTAAGGGAATATGGTGTTAGGAAAAATGATGTTAGGGAAGATGATGTTAGCATGGATGGTGTTGGGGAAGATGATGTTAGGGAAGATGGTGTTCATGCAGTAGGAACTGATGATAATGTGCTAATGGTTGGTGAGGTTGAAAGTGGTGATATTAGACATAAGACTGATGAGGTTGATGATGTTGTAAGACTGACTGATGATGATGATATTTATGATGATATCACCTTCAATTATGATAGTGCAATGGAGGTAGTATTTGATTATGACTCTAATGAGTATGACACTGAATTGGAAGAGGAAGAGGGTAACCTAATTGACTATGAACAAGTGGAAAGCAAAAAAGGTAAAGAAAAGTGTGAATCAAACAAAGAAGATAACAAAGGAAGTGATAATGAAAATGATGATCTAGGAAGTGAATATGATAGTGATGATAGTAGTAGAGCAAGCATTCCATCCAGCTCAAGCATCTCATCCAGCTCAAGCATCCCAGTCAACTCAAGCATCTCACCCAGCTCAAGCATCTCAGCCAACAGCTTCTTAATCATCCAAGAAAGTGAATCCCAAATCCAAGAAGTTGCAAGTTAGAAGGTCAAATGTACCTTTTGTCCCACATGGTCCAACAACTAGGTTGAATGCATCAAAAACTGTTGTAGGTCCAACAACAAGAAGGACAACACCTACTAAGAGAGCCGCACCAAAATGAAAAGCTTAGATTAATGCCTTTAATGTAATAGTTCTGTTAAGTTATGTTAACTTTAATTAATCTATGCTAAAGTGTTTTGAACCTGTACTATCTAGTGGTGTTTTGGACTTGTAATATCAGGTTTTTTGGACCTGTAATTTCTAGTTGTGTTTTGGACCTATAATATCAGGTTTTTTGGATATATAATGTATGGTTTTTAAACATGTAATATCAAGTTTTTGGACCTGTAATATCAGGTTTTTTGGACATGTAATGTATGAATATTAGTGGTATCCACCACCTTATAATTATATATTGTTGTTGACTTTATTCAATTGATTTTGTATATATTATGATATGAGTGTGAATGAAAACACAAAACAGAAGTGTTACAACAGTTGCATACTAATTAAAAATGATACTTTGTTCCATTTGGAAACACCAAAATTCATTACAAAATGTTACAACTTAAACATACAAATTCAAAATGATACAAAAATTACAACATCATCCAAATGACCACAATTAACAAAATACAGAATATTCTTTTCCATTTTTTTCGGAATTCATCATCTTCTTCATTTCAATTTGCAATACCCTTATCTTTTATTTCAGTCCATCATTTCTTTCCTTTAAAGACAATATCTCCAATTTTACTGCATCAAGGTCATTTTGAAGCTTCTCCAACCTACTATTTTGCTTCTTTATAAACTACTCTTTCTCATCTACCACATCATCATAGAACCATTGAAAGTATCCACATCCAGTTTCAGATGAATCCTATGTTATTCAAAATTCTGATAGATAAAAAAAATGAATAACCCATTTAATTTATTTCTTACCTTATAATGACGACAACCCCATAATTGCTTCCCAAAATTCGTTAGAGTTGAAGCCCTTCGAAGAACAACCGTGTCTCCACAACCACATACGGGTTTCCATCGCAAATTGTCATCTAAACATCCACCGCTCTTGACATTCGAATCGTATGAACACTAACTGAGTACACTAATGATGTTTGTTTCATTTTCCTCAAACAATTACAGAATCTAAAGGGGAAGAAAATTGTTGAACCCTAGAATTTGGGGGAGTCTGGGGTAGAAGAGATTGAAAGGGACGATGCAGTCTTGAAGAGAGTGAAGAGGATGTTTATATCATTCCACATCAGCTGCCACATATACAAAATAAACGTCAGTTTGTGCCTTTTGGACGGAAAGGACTACTGTGGTTCTTTTTGAACAATTAAGGGACCACTTTGGAACTTTTTAAAGATAAGGGACCAAAATGGACCCCGAGGTAAAGTTAATGGACTAAAAATGGTATTTTTCCAATCTATTATTACATTTTTCAGGTTTAATCATAAGTATGATTGTTCATAATCTTGATCTAACACAAATTTAATTTTTACACACGAAATCACTATGAATGTGGTAAAATCTGACAACATCAAATTTCTAAGAAAAAAGTAAAACCAAACATACAATTTTAAATGAGATAGATAGATAGAGATAGAGATAAATAGAGAGATAAATAGATAGATAGATAAAGAGAGAGATGAGATAGAGAGAGGGATATATATATATATATATATATATATATATATATATATATATATATATATATATATATATATATATATATATATATATATATATATATATAGAGAGAGAGAGAGAGAGAGAGAGAGAGAGAGAGAGAGAGAGAGAGAGAGAGAGAGAGAGAGAGAGAGAGAGAGAGAGAGAGATAGGGAGAGAGAGAGAGAGAGAGAGAGAGAGAGAGAGAGAGAGAGAGAGAGAGAGAGAGAGAGAGAGAGAGAGAGAGAGAGAGAGAGAGATAAAGGGATATATGGAGGGAGGGAAATAGAGAGAGTATGCCAAATTTACAATGGTTCATCGCATTAGTCCATGCTTTGTGCCTAACATTTGATAATTTTCACAGCGTCTTTTACTATAATCACAAGATTCAAGATAATGCTCAAAATCAATCAATCTTTGATCTGAATCTTCTATTCGAATGTATATAGCGTCTGAAATTGATCTCCGCAAGATCTTCACTCGATCACGACTTCCACCTTTTGAATTCTTGAACTTTTTTCCAAGCGTCTGTTTCAAAACAACTTCTCCTAAGTCCTACCAATTCCTTGTATGAGCCTTGATTTTTCTGAAGGGAATATATTCTCCAGCTTTGTATGTAGTAACTTCCACAAAAATCTACCAAACTAATCTTTGATAAAAGAAACTCATTTTTTTCACAGCTGGATTTTCAATCCCAGCCACAACCACACAAAGATGTCAACTTGAAATCTTAAAACTTTCACAA